TTTGTTGAATGGATTTCTTAAATCCTAGTGGAACGCAAACTTTTTTTGTACGTGAAAGGGTAGTCATTGACATTGAAATCCATCAACGAATATTTCTTGACATTGAAATTATGATTTAAACATTTATCATTTTCCGTGTTAGACCTTCAAAACTGAATAGTAGATTAGCTAGTGAGTTGAAGCTGTTGGAAAATGCTTATATGGACAATTCCATTAACCTCTCCGATGAGTCTATTCTTCAAATGTGGCTAAGCAATCCTTTGATTCGAAACAGTCTGTAAACTGAAAATTTTTTAATTATTAAGAACCAGTAAAATTTGTTAGTAATTAAGAAATTTATATAGGAAATTAACTTCACTGTCAACAGCAACAGGTTTCAACAAAGCATTCAAATATACATAAACGTTTGCAGGTTTAAAACTCAGAATTGTTTGAGCAGGTACATTTTCACTTTGTGCGGATTTATCAGCTACGATTCAGAAGATAACTGTCAAATTTTGAAAATATCTTGTCTTTGACGTCTACTTGGTCCTAGGCCAAAAACGTTTCTGCTGCTACTTCCCTAACCCTATTGAGTAATTTGCCTGTTAATATACTTCAACATACGAATTCACGTTTTTGATGTTATGCAGTCGCACATAAGGCGTACCAGTTCCTGAAATATCGTTTGGGGTCAGTAAACGACAGGTTTAGAGAATAAAATGGTGTAGAATACATCTAACACGGCAGGTGCCGAAATACCATTTACCTGCAGCCTACTCAAATGGTTCCTGGTGCAACTATAACAGAGGATGATGCAATAGCCGTAAACTGCGGTGTCTGAGAACTTATTCACATTCTGCTATTATTTTTCAAGTGTATGTTACACATATTACGGAAATTCCTTGAAGAGTACCGATTTGATATTGAACTGCCGCAAATGTCCCTACTACAGCGAATTGTATTTACACATATTTCAATGTAAAATGGCACAGTTGATTAAATTCAGCGTGAAATAAAATGTTAATTCTTTTGAATAATCGTTAGCACGTTTTGGTCCCGTTGCCTTTCTGGTTGAAATAATCTACAATTAAATAAAGAATTCAGTTCATCCTGAGGGAATTTGTCAAATATAGATTCAGATGTCGATCAGACGTTCACCA